GGGGGGGGGGGAGGATATGCCCCAGGGGAAGCAGCAGGGGGATCGGGCAAAAAGTGCGTCAGCAAGCGGACCCCGGCGGTATCCGGTGAGGACCGGCGTGCTGGTGTGGTGCGTGCGCTCGCGCGCGCGCGCGCGCGCGCGTGAGCAGAAACAGGCCTGTGTCTTCATTCGCGCGCGCACATGTGTGCATCTATGTGTGTGTGTGTTTGTGTGTGTGCGCACGCGCGCATGTGCATGCGTGTGTACGTACCGCATGATGGTGCTGACCACCTCGCTGTGCACATGTCGCAAGGAGGCAGTCTGCACCGGGTCCAGATCGACAAAGCCCGGCGGACGCTGGGCAACAAACTGCGGCTCCGGGCGCCAAATGCGCGGCGTGCGCCGGAGGACCAGCGGCACAAGGGCCGGCTGGGCGATGCGCGCGCGCAGTCGAATGAGCTGCGGCAGGAGACTCATGGCTGCAACAAGCTGGGTCGGTCTGCCAAGGGGGGAGGGGGAAACAGAGGGGAGGTCAGAGGGGGGGGGGGGGAGGCGCCAAAGGGCGAGGACGCCAGGGAGGGCAGGCGCATGCACAGACGCGCCCATGCACGCCCATGTGTGTGCCTGTGTGTGTGTGTGCGTGCTTGCAGGTGGCTGCCGCGTGTGTGTGTGTGTGTGTGTGTGTGTGTGTGTGTGTGTGTGTGTGTGTGTGTGCATGTGTGTGTGCATGTGTGAATGTGCGCACGAGGAGGGCGTGGTGATCGAGTCGGCGATCAGCCGCAGGGCCACCGACCCGGCACGCTCCAGCTGTCGGTACATCAGGATGGGATGGTCCTTCTCCACGTCCAGCAGGGACAGCAGGAAGAGGCGTCGCGTTTCGAGGTCCTCCACGGCGCCGGCCAGCAGGGTGGGCTGGTCGCGCGCCGGAAGCAGCGCCTCCGGCAGGGGATTCCGGATGTGCGACCGGGTATCGGCCGGAATGTACAACAGAGCCAGCCGATGGCACAGGTAGAGGCCGCGCAGCTTGACCGACTCGGGCACCCCGGCAAAGGGCCCGGACCCGGGAGGCGCCGGGCCCGGAAACACCAGGTCCAGTGCCAGCAGCCCGGCCAGGAAGATGCACCGCCAGGCCAGCTCGGCCGCTTGCCGGGTGGGAATCGTCTCACGAAGACTGGCAAGCAAGAGTGCACGTCAGAGCGGAAGCCCATCGAAGGAGGACCGGGCAGGAGATGGGGGGGGGGGGAAGGGCGTGCAAAAGGAGGCAAGGGAGCCGCTTGTCGACGGAGGGGGGGGAGGGGGGCGGGGCGAAAGCCGGGGCACATACACTTCGCGCAGGGTCAGCGGCGTCAGGATGGCAAGGGCCGCGAGCCAGGCGCGCGCGGTCTCAGGGTCACTTGAGACGGGCAGCTGCCGGCACACGAGCAGCACCAGCGGAGCCAACATCGGGAGGACTGGCCGAGGAGAGGGGGTTAGCGGTGGCAGGGCCGTGCGCGTGCGCGTGCGCGTGCGCGTGCGCGTGCGCGTGCGTGTGTGTGTGTGTGTGTGTGCTTTTTTTGTGTGGCCCCTTCCGGCTGGGAGACGCATGCGGCAAGGAAAGAAGAGGGAGGAGCCCGCGGGGAGGCGAGGGGGAGACAGACGCACGCTCGGGCTTGATCCGGCAGGCGGACGTCACGAAGCCGGCAAGCCACTTGCGCGCCTCGGCATTCCGATGGCGGACAATCGCCCGGAAGAGAATCGGCGAGTTGTATGCCACGAAGGTGACCAGGCGGTCGGGGCGCTGCGGGGGGGGGGGG